CCCTGTGAGTGTGTCTTTGTGGACACAATTGAGAATCTTGAGATGAGCTCTTCTAGAAGATTCAGGTGAGTCTTTAATCGAGTGACAGGTGTCATTAGGAAGAGGGGACATAGTGGCAGAAACAGCTGAGTGTTCGCATCTTGAGAAGGAGGCAGAGAATGCACAAGGAATAGAGATCATTTTGCCCCTAGAATCCTTCTCATACATTTTCAGCCTTTCTCAGAATCTCATAACAAGTAATGTCTCCCAGCAGCCAGTCTTCTAGTCCAGCTTCATCAACTTGGAAAAATGTATCTAGGGTCCTTCCACTGTTCTGTAAGTAACAGCTCTTTGTTTTTATTGTGGAGTATTTTAGTTGTATGAATTGACCATCATTTGCTTATTCATTTATCCACTGAAAAGCTTTTGTTATGTTTTCAATTTTTGGTGGTTACAAATACTTCATGCACATATTTTTTGTGTATGTCTGAAAACATTTTCATTTCTTTAGCTGAAATGTCTAAGCATAGAACTTCTGGGTCACCATCTGTCTTTAAGTGAATTGTTTCATTTTTTTATAAGTTGTTAAAATTATTTAAAGTTGTTCCTAATATTTTCTTATATACATTTTAATTTCTGTACAGATGGTAGTAATGTCTCTTTTTCATTCATTTTGGAAATTTCTGTCTTCTCTCACTCATTTTTTCCTTGCTCAGTTTAGCTGAAGGTTTTTATTTTTCCTTTAAATAAGCAGGAAAAGAGGGAGGGAGAATGGAAAGGAAGGGGAGAGGAGAAGAAGAAGGGGAGGAGACAGCAGCCTCCCATCTTTCCTGCCCCAATTTCTCTGTTGTTACCCCTTTTCCGCCCTCTTTGTTTCTGATCTAGTCTCCACATACTTATTTTGGGTTTGGCTTGCTTTTCCTTTTGTAGTTTCTTAAGATGAAAGTTCTTACATTTTTTCATGGTATATGTTTTCTGAGCCTAAGAGGAGTCTCCTACAGTTACCATAGAATTAAGTGCTGCTGTTCATCTAATGTCTCAATCCACTGATTTATGTTTTCCTCTGACATCTTTAACCTGCTATTGAGCTATGCTAATCTTGATTCTTGTTTTGTGCACTGAAATTCTGAATTACCATTGAGCACATTTTTGTAACTTCTGACTCATTTACACTCTCTATCCAATACTCTAGTTATACTTGAATTCCTTCAGTTCTTAAAGTCTCTGTTTTCTAGATCTAAAGTTTGACACTAAAAGATAGTTTCCAATCACTGTCCCTCCCAAGAATGGATACATTTTTATGTTCCTCTAAAGACCTCAGACCATTGTTTTTTATGTCCAAACTGGCAAGAACTAGAAATGTTAGATTACCTAACAACTTCAGAGTCTGGTTGCTTCACTCTGAAGGAAGCTGCTTTTGTTTGTTTGTTACTTTGTAATTTACCTGAACTGAACCTGTGACTATGGTTCCCATGACAGTTGAACGACTAGTGTTTCTGTAGCTTGGTGGTGGTGAGTTCAAGTCCGGCTGCCCTTGTGGCTGTGTGGTGCTGACAGAGCCCGATTTGCCAGGGAGGTTTGCTCAACATGAAGCACTAAGACTTTCGTCCTACCCAGGGATCTGCATTACAGCAGACAAAACTAAAGAATGGAGCCGGAGACAAGGACACGCGTCCTTACCTGACTTCACAACTGCTTCCATTACAGCTGGAAACACAGGCCAGAATTCCAGAGTCCCCTGTTCTCTCCTGTTTCTTGCCCAGTGTTAGCAGTTTTTCAAATATAAATGTTTCTCCAATCATCATCCTATGCCTTTAGTTGATTTCCAGTGTGTGCAATGGCTTTTGGTTTTGTTTTCCCATGCTTTTTAAGGGTGGAACTTGCCATTTTCCACACTTATCCACAGTCAGAAGCGTGCCACTAACTTACTTCTGAGAGACACGGAAAGGACCCGAAGCCTTGAGATCTTAACAACATCACTGTAAGACCTTCTGTTGTCAGTATTCTACGTTGATAATGGAAAACACCGGGGACAGTATTACGTTAAGCTCTGCTTTTCTTTAAATAGTTATTTCATGTATCCATTTTGACACCTTGGCGTAACTCATGGAATGCCATCATGTTCACATTCCATGGATGACAGCGAGCTTTTAAAAGTCCACAAACACATGATCCTTCCAGGTCTGTGTGTCAGTTTGGAAACCAACTTTGTTCTCTTCAGGGTGCACATGGTGCTCCAACCAAGCTTTCTGAAATAAATATTCCTGACACCATCTTGTGGCTTCTTACAGATTCACCAAGAATAATGTCTTACAGATTGTGGAAAAAAAAAAAAGTCCTAATATTCAGAATGTTTTCTTGACAGGCTTTAAAACCTGTCTCCTCACTGGGCTACTGAGTGGTCGCAATAGTTACAAAGTCGCTTTACAGTATGTAACTATGACTCACGATGCTCTGGGTATAAGGTATTCTATTCTACATATGAACTTTCATAATATAGTCCACCTTTCCCATACATTCTGTCATCTACTAATCCATGTCTTTCTACATCTATTGATGCATGCACAAAGTGAACTGAAATCGCTGATGGTGATAACCAGTACTTTAAGACAACCTTAGAGCTAACTAGGTTATCTACATGCTGGGTCACCCCAAACCAAATATGACTATCAGATTACAGCCATTAACAATTTTGAGATATACCAAGTCTGTAAAATAAAAAAAAAAATTTAAAAATACTTTAGGTCAGAAAGTACCCTAGTACCAGAATTCCATAGTTCCTAGATTTTCAAGAAAAGGTATATTTACATTTCACACTTAGTATTGAACATTCTAAAGTCATTGTGCCTTGCTTTCTACTTACAACTCTGTTACAGCATAAATCAAATTGATTTGGTGTGGCCTAATGGTAGCACACAATAAGGCACCAGGAAAAAAAAAAGTGTTTTAGGAAAAGCAAAAAAGAAGCATAAAGAGGCAACAGCTTTTCTCTAAATCCACATGTGGTAATAAATATATCAATACTACCTGTGGGTTTAGAGAAAATTTTAAAAGTTCTTTATAAAAGCCATGCTTTAGTCCTCTAACCTATTTCATTAGTGAACAGCTGTTTAAGATTAACCGAAATAAATCCTCACTGTATTTTAAAGCATTGATTTCCCCAAATCAGTACAGTGTAGACTTGAGGGTTTTTTTTTAATCAATTACACAAATAAATGGACAAAAGGCAAGACTTTCGAGCAGTTTTAAGAAACTGAAGAACTGACCACAAGGTCTCTAAGAGCCCTTCCATGACACAATTGCCATGGAGCCGACAGCGTGGATGGAACACACAGAGTGTGATCATAAGGGGATAGTGCCACTGATCTGCTTAGCAGCACCAGGCACATCAGAAGACAGGCTGAGTGCCAGGCACACGTCACAGCCGTACACAAGAGGCCAAAATGGCAGGTGGAGGACCATGCAAAGAAATTTCCTCAACATCGAAGAGGAAAAATTGCAGGAGGATCAGAAAGCCGTATGAAGTGTTGGTCGTCCAGGTTCTGTCCCCAAGGCTTGCCACCACTCAGGCTCTCCCCCATGCCCTCCTTCTCCCTGCTAACCAAACAGGCTCTTCCGGGTTTCCACAGAGATCCTGTGACCTCAGGAAGGTCCCATCCAAGTCCCAGCAGAGCGTCACCATGGGTCTAAGCTTGCTCCTCAAAGCGAGCGCTAATTCTGGCTATGGAGGAGTAACAGTGATTAGCAGTGATTAGAACTCCGGGAAACTTTGATTCCTTACAAGAAGGAAAACTTTGGTGGGCACACCCTTCATCCCCTAGCTCTTCTCCTCTTTGTTTCCTGAGCACACAGCAGCCAGCTCCTGCAGAAGAGGTGATTATCAGGAACTCCAATGCAGGAACACTGAGAACGGTGATGTAGAAGGCGCCTGTGTGCTGGAGGGCTGTGTCCCGAGAGCAGCTTTGCCTTGGAAGAAGAAGAAGCAAGCTCAGAGGTCAAACTACCATGAGGGGGCCTTTTGCAACCAAAAATACTCCGAGCATATGCAGTCATTGCAGAAAAGATAACACAGCTGTGGTTTTCAGATCTTCTAGAAGGTGAAAGTGAAATTTGGCTGTAAGAGTCACAGTAAGAAAGATTTCAGGTCAATATCAGAAATCATGTCCAAGAAGCAGAATTGCTGAAAAGATAAGTTAGCTCAGACAATCCTACTCTAAGCACATTCATATGGGAAATGGCTGATGGCCTGGGAAGCGTGTAAGAGAAAGAGTCTATGCACCAATCAAGAAATTCCAAAGCCCCCTTTCCACTTTAATTACAACTCCAATCTTTTATACTTGGGAAAGGCACTACTGATGTCTGCTAGTCACGTGATCCAAAAGAGTGGCAGATACCCAATGGTTTGTCTGGACTTCATGAGCAAAAACTCTGGCACGATGGTTGAGGATTTAGTTCAAAGGTAAAATGATTACACAGTGTGTACAAGGTTCTGCATTTGGTCTCCAGAATCCTCGTGTGTGTGTGTGTGTGTGTGTGTGTGTGTGTGTGTGTGTGTGTGCAGTGCTTTACTCTGAATAACTCCCAGAAGAGCTTATTTTCTATATGACATCTCTCCAACAGCTCCAGATATCCTATGCATTGCTGTGCTCTACTCTGAAGGGCCTCTCAGCCCTGCTCAAGGATGCCCCATGAGCAACTGATTGTGGAATTGTGATCCAGGCTCCACACATAGACAATATGGTAGCAGAGACATTTTCCTGGCCACATTCTGGCTTCCTTCTGGAACTGTACTGTAGATGAATTAACATTCACTTTGACTTATAAGGTGTGACACGGAAATTAGTCATTAATTCATCATGTCGGCTGACTATCCACACTCATGTATCACATAACTTCCTAAGTGCTAGTCATGGGAAAAGGGGGATTCTTGCAGAGACTCATAAAGCATACTGGAATACATAAGACAAGAGAAGCCATAGCTGTAGTGACTTTTATTTGTTTGTGACACTTCTTAGCTCGTGTGTCAGGACAGACGTGATTGTCTCCATTTTAGAGAAAAAAGCTACAGCAGCTGGGAGAGGTACATATGATACTCAAGGCAGCAGGAAACAGACCTCTGCAGAGCGAGAACCAGGTTCACTCTCCCCCAGTGGACGCGCCTGGAAGCACTGTCAGGTAATTTGTTCGGACTCCATAAGGTGATGCACAGGCCAGCAACAGTCACAGCAGACTCCAAGCAGGTTTTTGTCATCAACACATGAATATCTTCCTGTAGCATGAATGTGCGAGATGAATTAAAAGTAAAAAGAGCCTGGGAGAGGGTGGGGAAATGGGTCAGTAGGTCAAGCACTTGCTGTGCAAGCTTCAAGCCCAAATTACACACACACACACACACACACACACACACACACACACACACACACCCGTCCCCTAGGCTCATTAGTAAAAGCTTTAATCCCAGTGCTGGGGAGCTGGAGGACTGCTGGGACTTGCTGGCCAGCCTGTCTAGCCTAATTGATGAGCCCCAGGTTTGGTGAGAGTCCCTGTCTCAACGAATATGGCAGGAAATGGTTGGGAAGTGAAGCTCTGGTCCCTATGTTCATATGAACACATAGGAACATGCAAAACACACACACACACACACACACACACACACACACACACACAGCAGGGAGGAGACAGGGATATAGCTCAGTAATAGAGTGGTGGAGTGAATATTTGTCTAGCATGCACAAGGTCCTAAGTTCAATCTCTAGCAGGAAGGAAGGAGGGAGAGAGGAAAGAAGAAGTGGTGGAGGGAGGGGTGGAGGGAGGAGGGAGGGAGGAAGGGGGAGGGAGGGAGGAAAGAAGGAGTGGTGGAAGGAAGAGAAAGAA